TGCAATTCCTGTTTATTTTAATCGCGAATTAGTATAACTGGCGTATAATCTGTGGCACAGGATGTCATAAATAATAATATAAGACTACAAAACATATATTACTACACATATTAAACAAGCATTGAATCACTTATTCATGTATCAAAAACAACTCCCTGTGCCCTCACTATCGTTGACTTTAATCTAAAATAATAAATATTTTCATTTCTCTTCTTCTTCTTTGGATAAATACTATTAAATGTAATAAATATTACAAAATTCTTGGCGTTTAATACATGTTAATTGATAACAAAAATATTATTTATTGATTAGTGAGTAAAAGAAAGTTAAAACAAATTATTTTTCAATTCCTAAACAGATATCTGTAGAGAAAAAATTAAGTGAAGGAAATAATTGTTGCAAAAAAATGTTTTCACCAAATTGTGTTCAATTTATCATTGCATTCATTTTTAGTAAGTATTTTTGTTACAGAATTTATTAATTATTTGCATTTTTCTAATGAATATTCTTGTTATTCCTCCACAACATAGCACTCATACCAGTAATACTGAGCCAATGTTACCTCGAAGTAAATCAATGTCTAAATCAATTCTCAGCCGATTTAGAGCAACACAAGAAACACCAGTTTTCGTCCAATGAAAGCCAATACAACGATATTTGCGAGTAATTCACAAACAAAACAATATACTATTCTCTCTCTCTCTCTCTCTCTCTCTCTCTCTCAATTGTTTTAACACTAAGTCTATGTAAATCTTATGCAATAATATTTGTTTTTCTCTCCCCATATAACCAGTCATTCAAACGGCATTTACTCTAAGTTTGTGGTCTGTATTACCGGTGCTGAAGGTCTGTGCGCTTCTGACCAACACTTCAGACAATATGTGTGCGAATCTCGGAAACTAAAGATGAGAGTCAATCGATTCAATTGGAAACCGACTTTCTTTTTCCAGTTATGCCGTAATACGAGTCACGACTTGAGTCTAGGTTTGTGTCCCTCTCCTGTCCTCTATATATAACATATAACTAAACTAAATGTGCGCTAAACTGAATAAACAAATCAAATGTTTATATTAGACATGAATTTGCCTAAAGTAGAAGAGAGAGAGAGAGAGAGAGAGAGAGAATAGTATATTGTTTTGTTTGTGAATTACTCGCAAATATCGTTGTATTGGCTTACCTTTGCCCTCGCAATACATTTATTAGACAAAATCAATGTTAATGATTATGAAAAGCAGTTTTTTCATTATATAATTGAATTATGAGAGAGAGAGAGAGAGAGAGAGAGAGAGAGTTTTGTGATTTATTTGTATTTTTTCAACCCAAAAATTATTATCGCATTTTAAAAGTAATGTTATCTTTGATGACAAAAATAATAATAATTTTCTCTATTCATTGTGTAAACAATATTCAATGTATTATAGGTTTCATACAACACGAGGAGTGTATTAGTGGTGTACTTAACACTCGTAACTGGAAATGTGATGTCAATTATGATAAACCCATTAAGAATATGAGGGACTGGAAGAATCACATCAACACCACTTGTAGGCAAGTATTCAACAAATGTACCCAAAATATAAAAATATATTTCACAAGAAACTTGATATTGAGATAAATAAACATATTTAATAAATATTTTATAAGAAAATAGTTTTTGATGGGAATTCACACACAAAACAGCTAATTATTTCAATGTCAGTATATATTTAATAGGAGTTATAATTTAAAAAAGGGGCACATGTTTTAAAAGAGGGAGAGAGAGAGAGACTGGGAAAGATGTATATCTCGTGTGAAATATTAATGACTACAAATAGTTTAACGAGAATATTTAACATTTAGTATAACCACATGTATTTTATTAATATATTCCCAAATTAATAACGATAATTATCATAGACAAAATGACTGATCAATTTGTCTAATGACTAGTAAAATAAAACTAAAAATAAACACATATTATGTATTAATTATCAATCAATTGATTAATTAGTTTGTGGCGAAAGTTTCGTGACTGCAGTCGAAACGATGTGAAACAAAAGTGCGGATCAGATGCGGCCACTATTGCCGACCAACTCTTTCACAGC